TTTTGTATCTTCTGTGCAATGGAAGAAGGTGAAAGAGAGTGTAATGAGGACAGGAGGGATCTTTGATTATGTTGGCTGCTTTCCTGAGGCAGCGGGAAGTGTAGGCAGAGTCAATGGAAGGAAGGCTGGTTTTTCGTGATGGACTGGGTTGCATTCACAACTCTCTGTAATTTCTTGCAGTCATGGGCACAGCAGTTACTATACCAAGCTGTGATGGATCTGGATAGGATGCTTTCTATGGTACATCTATGAAAATTAGTAAGAGTCTTTGTGGATATGCTGAATTTCCTTAGTCTCCTGAGGAAGTAAAGGCATTGGTGAGCTTTCTTGACTGTAGTGTTGATGTAGCTGAACCAGGGTAGATCATTGGTATTGGTTATTTACTCCTAGGAACTTGAACTACCCTCTAGTTTTGAATTGAATTGGCTTTATTGTCACATGTACTCAAATAAGTAAAGTGAAAAGTTTATAGATCACCACTTACAGCATCTTCTCAGATACAAAGGTACCTAGGTACAGCTTCTTCAGTTACATGATCTTAGAAAATGGAGAAATGAAAAGTCCAGCATTGTAGAAATAAAAGTTCAGAACAATGGTCTTCCAACCCAGATCATGCTGCCACCTAGCCTCGAGTCCGCACCAGCCTTAGATCCAGACTGCGCCATGCTTCACCTCAAGGGTCATGAGGCTGGAAGATCGTTCTGGAATTCCCTCAAAACCACAAGACCATGCTGAGGCCATGCCAGGCCAAAACACCACCACATACCACCGGAAGACCCACACCAGGCAGACAAGATGCCACACCAGGAGCCCACCATGCCACGCTGGGATGCCACCATACCACACAGGGAGGCTGCCATGATGCGGTGCTACACAAAGCCAGGAAGCAGCCACGGTAGGCTGCCACACCAGGCAAGAGGACACCTCGTGTGTCTGCGCTGAGGCCAGGATTCGTTGGACAATGGGAGTTGTCAGAGGCCGGCCTCCCCAACTCTAGAGACCTTTGCTATTCACCTTATCTATACCCGTCATGATTTTATAAGCCGCTATAATGCCACCCCTCAACCTCCTATGTTCCAGGGAAAAAAAGTCCCAGCTTATCCAGCCTCTCCTTTTTACTTAAACCTAGGAGCAGATCTCTCATGAAAAGCATAAAAGATGATGCAAGTTGTTTCTAACATCAAGGCAGGCCTCACCACAATTGTCCCCTGATTCTACCATACTCCTCACCAGAACACCATTTCCCAGACCCCTATAAGATTTTGCTCAGCTTCTCCATGGGCATTTAAAGAATTTAAAGAAGAGTTAACAAGCTGAGTGCTGGGCCTATAGGAAGCGAGTCAGAAAAATTGCTAATGGAAATTAAAGAGATGAAATTTTGCAATAAACACTTATTTTGCATCAGTCTTCACTAGAAGATGCAAAGAAGATCCCAGTAGCAGTGATAAATAGGAAAATAGAAGGAATGGAAGAACTTAGAAAGGAAGAAGTTATATGCATTATTTATAGAGTTGTGAACTGACTTGATTAACGTTTCTATTCTTTTTAGGGGAAACCAGGTAAAGATGGGAGACCTGGACTACCAGGGATCCAGGTTGGTCTGACTTACATCAATAATAAAATTCAGTTATTCATCAGCTCAGGTTTTTGCATAAGGTGTTTGATTTTCTAATCATTTTCAATTGAGAAAACTACCTCTTGATAAATATGATTTAATTATTAATATTATTCAATTAATTGGGCCACTGATATCAAGGGTCTGAAATTTAGACTTCTATTTCAAAACTGCAGCTGAATATTGCCACAAGAAAATTACCTGTTGTGAGCTGTCACATGTGTTTTCTGTTACCTCAGGCATTGAAAGGTGATCCAGGCTTTTTGGGATTCACAGGAAGAGATGGAGCATCAGTAAGTCGCTGTGCATTCTGACTAATTAACCCATACAGTTATATTTCATAACAATCATGCAAATGCTATATGTATTTAATGAGTTAATATACAAAATATTATTATTTTAATCCAGGGAAGGAAAGGAGAAATTGGCCGTCAAGGACCTCCTGGTCCAGTGAGTAATGACCTGCACTTAAAAATCTTTCTCTACAATGCATTACTTAAGATTTAGTTTCAATATCAGTGTTTTCATTTTTCTTTCTCCCAATCACCAAAGAGGTTTCAGGTTTTTACTGACCGTATGGAACCACATGCTGAATAAAGGCCATGCCCGGTACCATAGGAACAGAAGTAGGCCATTCAGCCCCTCAAGCCTGTTCTACCATTCAATTAGATCATGGCTGATCTGTGACCTAATTCCCTTTACCTGCCTTTAGTCTACATCTCTTAATACCTTTGCTGATACAAAGAACTATTTCCAGAATTTAAAATAACAACTGATCCAGCATCCATTGTTGTTTGTGGAAGACAATTTCAAACATCTGCCATCTTTATGTGTAGAAGTGCTTCCTAACATCGCTCTTGAATGGTCTGGCCCTAATTCTCAGAGTATGCCTCCTAGTTCCAGAATCTCCAACCAGTTTACCTTTATTTACCCTGTCTTTTCCTACAGAAATAAGAACTTCAAATCTTCAAATAAGACTTTGTTCTGGTGACTACTGTTTCAACATAAACACTTCACCTCTCAACTTCCCATTTATTTTCTTCAGTAACAAAATTCTTGATATTCAATGGAGATAAATATCCAAAAAAAATGTTCAAATCCACTCTAACTGTGAATGACCAAAATGTATCCTACGTGGAAAATGTTTCTTTGTTTTCCCAAACATTCCTCCTTTCCTCTCTGAGGGGAGGTATTTATTTGGTTTTTATAAAATATATTTGATTTAATTAAAAATTAGGTTTAACAGAAATGACAAAACAAGGAATGAGACAAATCTCATGAATACTCCTCCTCCCACACACCTTCCTGCAAAAATGCTATCCCCTATTCCCAATTCCTTCGCCTCCGCCGCATCTGCTCCCAGGATGAGGCATTCCACTCCCGTACATCTCAGTTGTCCTCGTTTTTCAAGGACCGTAACTTCCCCTCCTCGGTGGTCGAGAACGCCCTCAACCGTGTCTCCCACATCTCCCGCACCTCATCCCTCACACCCCGTCCACGCGATAAGAACCAAAAAAGAATCCCCCTCGTCCTCACGTACCACCCCACCAACCTCCGGATCCAACGCATCATCCTCCGACACTTCCGCCATCTGCAATCCGACCCCACCACCAAAGACATCTTTCCCTCCCCACCCTTATCTGCTTTCCGGAGGGACAACTCTCTCCGTGACTCCCTTGTCCGCTCCACACTCCCCTCCAGCTCCACCACACCCGGCACTTTTCCCTGCAACCGCTACACCTGCCCCCATACCTCCTCCCTCACCCCCATCCCAGGCCCCAAGAAGACTTTCCACATCAAGCAGATGTTCACCTGCACATCTGCCAATGTGGTATACTGCATCCGCTGTACCCGGTGTGGCTTCCTCTACATCGGGGAAACCAAGCGGAGACTCGGGGACCGCTTTGCAGAACACCTACGCTCGGTTCGCAACAAACAACTGCACCTCCCAGTCGCGAACCATTTCAACTCCTCCTCCCATTCCTCAGACGACATGTCCATCCTGGGCCTCCTGCAGTGCCACAACGATGCCACCCGAAGGTTGCAGGAACAGCAACTCATATTCCGCTTGGGAACCCTGCAGCCCAATGGTATCAATGTGGATTTCACAAGTTTCAAAATCTCCCCTCCCCCCACCGCATCCCAAAACCAGTCCAGCTCGTCCCTGCCTCCCTAACCTGTTCTTCCTCCCACCTATCCCCTCCTCCCACCTCAAGCCGCACCTCCATCTCCTACCGACCAACCTCATCCCGCCCCCTTGACCTGTCCGTCCTCCCTGGACTGACCTATCCCCTTCCTAACTCCCTACCTACACTCACCTTTCCTGGCCCCATCCCCACCTCTTCGACCTGTTTGTTTCCTCTCCACCTATCCTCTCCTCTATCCCTCTTCTATCCTCCTCCCACTCTCTCCCTATTTATTTCAAAACCCCCTTCCCCTCCCCCTTTTCTGATGAAGGGTCTAGGCCCGAAACGTCAGCCTCTCTGCTCCTATGATGCTGCTTGGCCTGCTGTGTTCATCCAGCCCTGCACCTTGTTGTCTCTTATTTTCTGATGGTGTCTGATCAGCACAGATAACCTCAAAAAGCAAAAAGCAGCCATTATCCAGAAAGCTCTCAGGGTCTGTGAAGGAAGAGAAACATTTGGTGGGTGGTTGAATTGGAAGAACCAGCTTTTCATTCTGCTGACCTGAACTGGAAACCTCTAACGACAGCGGAGGGTCTGAGGTTGGACGTTGTAGGATCTGCCTATCTGTCACCCTCTATTTGTATAAAAGTTATGATATGTAGTTTGGGTACAATGCAAAGCTATATGCTAAAGAGCAATGGTTGTGTTCAGTACTTGAAATGGCACTTCCTGGTAAGGTATTGATGATTGAAGAGCCTCATAAAAAGTCTGTCTAAAATTGAAAAGAACATGAATGATTAGATCAGCCAGGATCTCACTGAATGGTGGTGTAGATCTGATGGGCTGAATGGACTACTTCTGCTCTTATATCTTATGATTTTATGGTCTTAAAAACTTTTGTGTTCATCCTGATGCCTTATTTGCAGCCAGGCATTCTAGTTAAGCTTTCATATGCCAGAATGTGTCCTGCTCTCCGAGCACCAGCTGGTCTGCACTATACAGCAACTTCAATGCCATTCTTTACAGGGGCTCCAGTGCCACAGTTATAAATATGGGTGAGGTGTCAGTTCGAATTAAATGGTAGTTCAGCTTCAGTTGCTCTGTGTTCCTGCAAATTAATGATTGTAGCTAAATAACAGGAAGAGCTATGTCCAATCTTACATCATGCTCTGCGATGTTAAATCTCTCATGTTATCGGTCTCATCTCAGACATCAAACACACCAGGTGTCAACGCACAAGGTTGAAAAGTGACACTTACTGGAGGTCCTGGTTGACCTGGTGGTCCACGGCTTCCTTTGTCCCCTGGATATAATGATACAGTTTGAGCTGGTTCACCCTTTCAAGATAAACATATTGCAAAATTACGGAGCATTAAACCCCAACTCCTGCATAACAAACAGCAACTTCATACAGTTATGTTAGTAAGCCCTACCCTGCTGAATAAACAGAAGCTGTACATAATTTCACATCTGGAATACTGTATTGAGATTTTTGTCTGTTTAAGGAAGGACATAATTGCATTAGAAACCGTTTACAAAAAGTTGATTCCTGAGATGAAGGGTTATCTTATGAAGGAAAGTTGGGCCTGTATCCATTGGAGTTTAAAAGAATGAGAGGTGATCTTATAGAAACCTGTCGGATCCAGAGGGAACTTGAGAGGGTGAACATGGTGTCTCCCATTTTAAATAGAGATAAGGAGAATGAGGCCACATACCAGTATCGATCTGGTGGGTTGGCACACAGCATTGGCCCTATCCCCTGCTGGTTGAGTACCAATAGTGGCCCTTAGGTTGCATTGGCCTCTCATTGTAAGGCTGATCTCAAACCTTCCACCCTGAATTAATCGTAGTATGTGTGAAGGGTAAAGAATCAGGAAGGTGATGGAGTCTCCCTGAAGCACCCACCTCACTCATTGTACAGAGAGCTCACCACCTTCTAGCGTGCCTTGAGGGCAAGCATTAAATTCTGTCCTAAGTGTTAGTTTCACCCTCAATTATTTGTGGGGAAAATCACTCTTGCTGTCAATATTCACCCATTGTCTACTTCAGGAATATTTTTAACCTCATGATTGTTGAGTGAATATGACTCTTCGTCCTGTTCATAATCATTTTTACCTTGATGGCAACAAAAAAGTGACTTATCAAAATCCAGACATTCTGGTCATTTCTAATTGGAAGGACAAAATAAAATTCAAAGTATAAGCTTCAGTCAATCAAATTCTCCCTTAATTACATCAATAGGCAGAACTAACTTCATTTGCAAATGACAACCCTTTTTCTTAGTGAATGACATACCTTTTGTCCTGGAAGCCCTGGATGTCCCTGAAAATTAAAATTAGAAAAATATAGTTTAGGATTTTGTCAGAAAAGCGCTTCAATTTTTGAAAAAGAGTAAACAAATTCCCACAGCAGTTGTAACTATTTAACTCCTCTTGGAAATATTTATTTTGTTCTCAGTGGGTTACAAATGATTGGTGATAACTTTGATTTTATGCCTTAATGTAAAAAGGGTAATGTTGAAACAACAGTCTATTTGTCATTTCTTCTAATTTTAATTTTCACCTATAGCAAAAGATATAAAAGTCCTGTGGGATGTTGTGATGTAAATGAGCCTGCCAATTTGTCAGAAAAAAACTACTTCCACTGATATGGCATCTTTCATAACTTCAGGGCATTCCAAAGCACTGAAGTGGCAATGATGTACTACCTGGAGTTCCAGGATTTTGGCCTGGCAACAGTAAAGAATCAGTAATATAGTTCCAAGTCATGATGCTGTGTGACTTGGATTGAAATGTGCACGTGGTGTTTCCATGTATTTGCTGCTCTTGTCCTTCTAGATAGTGAAGGTCATGCATTTAGAAGGTGCGTTGGTCTACTTGACACTCCTGCCTTGGGTGTTGTAGATGATGGACAGGTTTTGGGGAATTAGGAGTTGAGTTACTTGCTGTAGGATTCCCAGTTTCTGACCTGCTCCTGTAGCCATTGTATTATTATGGTGAATCCAGTTCAGGAACTGCTCAATAGTGAGATATTCAGTGATGGTGATGCCACTGAATGTCAAGGAAAGATTGTTACATTCTGTTTTGTTGGAGAGTGTCATTGCCTTGCATTTGTGTGCTGCAAATGTTTCTTGAGACTTATCAGCTCAAACCACATTGGATGAAAACTATTCAGAGTAAATAGTCAGCACAAATGTCAGTGGTATTCATATAGGTTGAAGTTTTTCAGCTATGCAAGCAGTATTAGTTGTTGGCCTATTGCAGTGATTTGTCTTTGTACTATTTTTGAACCACTTTTCACTGTCCTGTACTGTCTGTTGAGAATATGTTTCGGGCAGAATAGAAAGGGACAGAAATCAGGGCACACATAAATGAAATTTTAATAATTTTATTGGTTTCAGTCAGCTTTGTATAGTACATACGTGAAGTCCGCTTAATCCTTCAGAGCCAGGAATTCCTGGAAAGCCAGGATCACCCTGTAAAAGAAAGAACTTGCAATTTTCATGTATTCCTCTGAAGCAGAGGTTATACTTCTCTAAATGTCTCAAATTAACAATAGATTACACTGGAAATTCCAAGTACTTCTGGATTAGCTCAAGTCTGACCTGAAATGCTGGCCATTTTTTTTAACAAATTGATGTTTTAAGGCTGGACTTACCTTTGTGCCATTGCATCCTGGTATGCCTTTAGGACCTTGAGGACCATCTTTTCCAGGGATACCCTAGATAGAAAAAGTTGGAGTTTATTTCAGAAACTTACTAATGAAAATTAAAGTACATTCTTTTATCAACAGTAAAATTCTGACCCCTTGGTTTGGTCAGCTACACAGTGCAAAAGCACAGGACATTGGTAACTCAAATGACGTGTACAATAATGTAAACTTCAATTGCTGCAATCTGTTCTTGTTGCTTTGGATGCAAAGTCTATTATAGATCAGAGTGCAATCCCCTTTACCCTGTCATTTTTGTAACTTTAAATAAAGGGAATTAACTTAGTCAGCCCTTAGGTCCTGTTTGACATTATGTAAAACTATCCATAACTCGGGACATTCACATTCTGGCAAGGCCATAGTGATGGTTAGAATGGAAAACATAAATATCACTGTATGTCAAGATCTTCTGAGGTTAAGTTGTGTTTGACAGGACAAGAATATTGTGTGAATTTTATTTGGTTTAGCTCTGGGACCACCGTCACTTTTGACGTGAGTTGCTGTAGGTTATTATCTGAAATTCACTGTAACATAAGGCCAACGTGGGTCTAGAAGACTTTGGAAACTAATAAATATGAGCTCTGATTTTCAGACAGAAAGGTTGCAACTTAGGATTTGCCCATACTAGTCCAGATAATGGTTGGCAATACACAGTATTCCTGTATCCACCTTAACAAAATGTTAGTGGTGCTGTCTGCTTCTTAATGCCGCCTGTGAGCCCCCTGTACATTATGAGATCCTGGCATCGTTGTTTGCTGATCATGTGCACATCAGACACAGGCTGCCTCTTCAACGGGATGTGGCAGAGCAAGATTACTGCAGTGCAAGGCTTTGGGATACAGAATACCAGAGGTGACGGATCCATGAGTGTGTCTACAGGCTAGGGATCAATCAGGACATTCAATGACTTGTGTATGCATGTGAACATAGAACAAAGAACATAGAACATAGAACATAGAATATAAAACAGCACAGTACTGGCCCTTCAGCCCACAATGTTGTGCTGACCTATTATTTTACTCTAAGATCAAACTAATCTGCGTACCCTTCATTTTACTAGCATCCATGTGCCTATCCAAGAGTCGCTTAAATGTCCCTAATGTATTTGACACTACTATCACCACTGGCAGTGCATTCCATGCAGCCACCACTCTCTGTGTAAAGAAGCTACCTCTGACATCTCCCCTATACCTTCCTCCAAACACCTTAAAATTATGTCCCCTCATGATAGTCATTTCCGCCCTGGGAAAAAGTCTCTGGCTATCCACTCTATCTATGCCTCTCATCATCTTGTACACATCTATCAAGTCATCTCTCATCCTTCTTCGCTCCAATGAGAAAAGCCCTAGCTCCCTCAACCTTTCCTCATAAGACCTGCTCTCCAGCCAGGCAGCATCCTGGTAAATCTCCTCTGCACCCTCTCTAAAGCTTCCACATCTTTCCTATAATGAGGTGACTAGAACTGAACACAATACTCCATGTGTGGTCTAACCAGGGTTTTATAGAGCTGCAGCATAACCTCGTGACTCTTAAACTCAATTCCCCTGCCAATGAAAACCAACACACCATATGCTTTCTTAACAACCCTATCAACTTGGGTTGCAACTTTGAGGGATCTATGGGTGTGGACCCCAAGATCCTTCTGTTCCTCCACACTGCCAAGAATCCTGCCATTAACCCTGTATTCTGGATTCAAATTCAACCTTCCAAAATGAATCACTTCACACTTTTCTGGGTTGAATTCCATCTGCCACTTCTTTGCCCAGCTCTGCATCCTGTCAATGTTCCGTTGCATCCTACAACAGCCCTACACGCTGTCCACAACTCCACCAACCTTCGTGTCATCGGCAAACTTACTAACCCACCCTTCCACTTCCTCATCCAAGTCATTTATAAAGATCACAAACAGCAGAGGTCCCAGAACAGATGCCTGTGGAACATCACTGGTCACCGAGTTCCAGGCTGAATACTTTCCATCTACTACCACCTTCTGTCTTCTATTGGACAGCCAAATCTGTATCCCGACAGCCAAATTTCCCTGAATCCCATGCCTCCTTACTTTCTGAATGAGCCTACCATGAGGAATGTTATCAAATGCCTTGATAAAATCCTTATACACCACATCCATTGCTCTGCCTTCATCAATGTGTTTTGTCATACCCTCAAAGAATTCAATAAGGCTTGTGAGGCATGACCTGCCCCTCACAAAGCTATGCTGACTATTTCTAATCAAACTATGCTTTTCCAAATAATCATAAATACTATCTCTCAGAATCCTCTCCAATAATTTGCCCACCACAGAAGTAAGGCTGACTGGTCTGTAATTTCCAGGATTATCCCTATTCCCTTTCTTGAACAAGGGAATGACATTTGCCACCCTCCAGTCATCTGGTACTACTCCAGTGGACAGTGAGGATGCAAAGATCATTGCCAAAGGCCTCACTTCCTGTAGAAACCTTGGGTATATCCCGTCTGGCCCAGGGGACTTACCTATCCTCATGTTTTTAAAAATTTCTAGCATATCCTCCTTCCTAACATCAACCTGTTCGTGCATGACAGCCTGTTTCATACTGTCCTCACAAACTACAAGGTCCCTCTCACTGGTGAATACTGAAGCAAACAATTCATTAAGGACCTCCCCTACCTCCTCCGACTCCATGCACAAGTTCCGTCCACTATCCCTGATCGGCTCTATCTTCACTCTGGCCATCCATCTGTTCCTCACACAAGTATAGAACGCCTTGGGGTTTTCCTTGATCCTACCTGCCAAGGTTTTTTCATACCCCCTTCTTGCTCTCCTAAGTCCATTCTTCAGTTCCTTCCTGGCTACCTTGTAACCCTCTCGACCCCTGTCTGATCCTTGCTTCCTCAACCTTAAGTAAGCTTCTTTCTTCCTCTTGACTAGATATTCTACATGTCTTGTCAAACAAGGTTCCTTCACCTTACCATCCCTTCCTTGCCTCAGTGGGACAAACCTATCCAGTACTCGTAGCATGCGCTCCCTAAACGGCCTCCACATTTCTGTCGTACATTTCCCTGAGAACATCTGTTCCCAATTTATGCTCTGCAGTTCTTGCCTAATAGCATTGTAATTCCCCCTCCCCCAATTAAATACTTTCCCATACCATCTGTTCCTATCCTTCTCCATGACAACAGTAAAGGTCAGGGAGTTGTGATCACTATCACTTGCAAGAATGTGAGGCATGCCACATGAGCAAACCCATGCAAAGGAGGGAGTATCCACATCCATAGTATATTCCAGCCATTTCTTGGACAGCGATAGCAACAAAGGGAAGATTACATCTTTGGGACAGATTACTTTTTCAAATTTCTTATTGTTCAACAATTTAGCAGCATAACAAGTGCAACCATTCCTAATGCAAAGACTACTATTTTCAGTTTATTCGGTGTCCTGAAATGGATAGTGTTGGACAACTCATTACAATTCAATGGCAAACTATTTCAAGACATTTTTACTTAGCAGGGAGTGACTAACATCATGTCGTCACTCCATTATCTGCATTCAAACTGTCTAGTAGACCATAGGGTGTGTAATGTCAATCAATGATTCACAAGCGTTGAGCAACAAAAGATTTTTTGCACTGTATTGCTGTATTTTGTGCAATAACAGGGAAGAAAGGATTATCATCCACAGCAAAACTTTTGCTTGAACATTAAGTGCGTACGACGTTGTGAAGTGCCCAATTGTTTCTACTGGCACAAAGGAAGATGGTTGTATTTCTTGGAGGTCAATTATCTCAGTACCCAGAAATCTCGGCAGGAGTTCCTCAGGGTAGTATCCTGGGTCAAATTGACTTCAACTTCCTTATCAATGACTTTCCCTCCATCATAAGGTCAGAAATACAGATGATTGTGTAAAGCTCAGCGTCATTTGTGACTCCTCAGACACCGAAGCAGTCTATGTCCAAATGCAGTAAGACCTGGGCAATACCCAGGCTTGGGCTAACAGGTGGCAAGTAATATTTGCATCACACAAATGTCAGGTAATGACCTTCTCCAACATGAAAGAATATAACCACCAACCCCTGACATTCAATGGCATTACCATCACTGATATTCCCACTGTCAACATCCAAGGGTTACCACTGACCAGAAACTGAACTGGACCAGCCACATAAATACAGTGGCTACAATAGCAGGTCAGAGGCTAGGAATACTGCAGTGAGTAACTCCCCTCCTGATTTCCCAAAACCTGTGCACCATCAATAAGGCACAAATCAGAAGTGTGATAGAATACTCCCCACTTGTCTGTATGAGTACACCTCCTGCAACATCAAGCATCTCAACAACATCCAGGCCAAAGCAGCCATTTTATTGGCATTCTTTCTAACTGCCCTAAGCATTCACCTTCTCCAACACCAATGCATAATGGCAGCAGTGCATACCACCTACAAGATGCATTGCAGAAATTCACCAATGCTTCAACAGCACCTTCCAAACTCCCAACCATTTCCATCTAGAAAGAAAAGTGAAGCGGATAAATTGGAACACCACCTCCTGCAAATTCTCCTCCAAGCCACTCACCATACTGACTTGAAAATATAGCACTGTTCCTTCAGTGTCATCAGCTCAAAATCCTGGAATTCCCCCTCTAAGAGCAGTGTGGGTCTACTTACAGCACATGTACTGCAATGGTTCAAGAAGGCAGCTCACTGCCACTTTCTCAAGGGCAACTAGGGACACACAATAGATATTGGACTAGCCAGTAACACCCACATCCTGTAACTGAAATAAAAAATAAATGCAAGTTGCTATTATTGATAAATATGAGTTGGAACACCAGTCCACAATGCTTTCCTATCTTGTGATCCTCTTTTAAAGCCTTAGCTTGTACTATTTTTGGAGTTTGGTCATTTACATGGTGTATATCTTGTGATGGAAGAAAGTCTAGCATTAGAAGGAAGTCCAGTGTTCTCTGTAATTTGCCATTTTTTGTTTACTCACCGGCACAGCAGGGTTTCCTGGATGGCCTGGTAAACCTGAAGGTCCCTATGGAAATGAAAAGAATTGAAGTTATTAATTATACTGTTACATAATGGACTATGATTTATAGATATTTTCTAACCAAATTGTTCAGAGATGTTATGACACAACTCTGGAGCAGTTGAGATCTGAACCCAGGTCTCCTAGTCCAGAGTTTGGTGTACTACCACTGCACCAAAACACCCCTAAAGAAGACCAATCTACCATTCACCAATATCTGTCACAAAGTTTCTGTCCAATTTCTGCTGAATCACAAGAAGAGGGAGATAATGCCTTGTGGTATTATTGCTAGACTGTTAATCCAAGAGATCCAAGTCATGTTCTGAGGGCCTGCATTCGAATCCTGTCATGGCAGATGGTGCCACTTGAATTCAATAAAAATCTGGTATTAAGAGTCTAATGATGACCATGTTACCACTGTCAATTGTTGGGAAAAACCCATCCGGTTCACTATTGCCCTCTGGGGAAGGAATCTGCCATCCTCACCTGGTCTGGCCTAGATGTGACTCCAGACCCACAGCAATGTGGCTGACCTCTAATTGACCTTTTGGTAATTAGGGGTAGGGAATAAATGCTGGCCTAGCCAGCAACACCGACATCCTGTGAGCCAAATAAAAAAGTATTCAAACTGTGGATCCCTACACCACATGCTCTTGAACATTTGATGATGTGCCTTATCAAATGCCTTTTGGAAATAGATTGTTGTAAATCTATTGCTTGTTCTTCCTTCTACTCTTTTAAAGGGTAAAAAGATGAGCAAACTGTAGGAGCTGTTGGAAACAGGTGTTACTTCTCTGTTTGCTATTCTGTCTGATAAGTATAAAAACACTTACCCTCAAACCTTTCATGCCTGGAGGTCCAGAAAATCCAGGATTTCCCTGTTAACATCAAAATGGGAAAAAAGAATGTCACATATTCAGATTTAGTGAGAGAATAAAATCTAGAATTACTATCTTCATTCAGCAAGCAACCAAGACAAATTTTCCTTCATTACATTCTTTTGAACTCTGATACCCTGTATACAAAAGGTAATTAATAATAGATACCAAATGGATTCTTCCAAAACATTTAGAGCACTTTTTCCTCTCAGCTAGTGTATCTGATCAAACAGTTCAAATATAAAGCTCCATTTTAATGAGATGTGTTTAACTGGTAACTCTGTTTTAAGTTTGAAAGACACATTTTAAAATTTTCTGTACTTTAGGATTTTTGACTACTTTTCCACACAAATATTTGAGAAAAAAAGGAACCTGTAATAATTGCATTTTAGAGCATTGCATTTTATATAAGTGAAAAGATGCTTGAAATTTGAGATAATATTACACTGGCTAAAACACTGTTTCCCCATTGATGATAAATAATACGCACCTCATAACCTTATCTAGAGAATTTAACAAACATTCCACATCCAATGTGCTATTTATGCAAAGATAATTGAATTAAAATGACTTTGATTATAATTTGTTTTGTATATTGTGTTTGTGCCCTGAGTTCACCAAGTTGTTTGTTTAGGGTAATTGAAAAAAAAACACGTGTGATAGGCATGAATATCTAATTCAAGTTGTGAAGTTAGTATTACAGTATTGTTACATCTCAGGTCACACTATCATGCAACTAAACACTGTACGTGTTTATTTCTATAAAAGTAAGATGCTTAGGTGGATCACTGATGTGACCAATGCCATTGGTCCTGAAAAGAATTTGACAGAAATTAGTTCTGTTATTTTCAAAGTTCTCATCCAAACGAATCTGTACCGCCAGTCCAATGGCACAATTTATGTACGTATTTCAGAATAATAGACGTACTGTGGACAGGGCTTCTGTTTTCTACTCTTCAACTTTGGTAAGAGTGCATCTCATCAGGGCTTGGTGATGTACTCAGTTTGAATGTTGTTGATATCCTGTGCTTTGGGAAATCCCCCTGAGTGCAAGCATGAAGATGGTGATGAATATTTATTTAAGGTAATCCTTTGATTTCCCCACTTGTCTTCAGATTCTCTCTATTTTGGAAACGACATTCAGTTTATTGCCTCCTTCCAAACTGTGTGTGCTTTCATTCTCAAGGAAACCCAAAGAAGGCAATATTCCTTTATGGCCCAAAAGCCTCCAGCTTTGACTTACAGCATCTTGTCCTTTGTTATCACCAAGTATTAAGCAGCACCTATTTTTCTAATCAGCCTGTTCAGAGATGCTATTACACACCTCTGGAGCAGATGGGACTTGAGCCCAAGCCTTCTGGTCCCTAGGTAGGGACACTACTATTGTGCCACAAGAGCCCTTTTCAGCAACACATATCAATGGTAGCTTTAACAGGTGCAGCTGTGACCAATTTCCTGTTTCTTTCTCAGGTGCAGGAAGTTCATTATGAAACCCTCAAGATCGAGCTCATACACCTGATCAAAGTCCTGCTATTTCAATACTGTACATGGAAGATGTCAAATGATGTTCCCAACCAACCACTACAGCACATGTAATTTACAGGAGAAACTGTTTCAACTTGTACTACCGATAAGGCTGGAATCATTTCTGTTTCTATAAAGATAATTTAAGGTTAATTTTCTTCACTCTGTCGCCAGTGCAGCTTGGAGCTAAGCTGGATTCTCCAAACCACAGTCATCCTAGTGAGAATCTGCATGAAGAACAAAACTTCACTGAATTACCTTGATAACTTAATGTGAAAAAAAACCCATAAAGCATGGTGAAAGCATTACAAGAAAACACTACATTGATTTCCATATCTTAGGAGAGTGTACTAGCCTTGGAACCAAAGAAGGTTCACAAGAATGATCCCAGGGATGAAGGGCTTGTCATACGAGGAGTGGTTGAAGCCTATGCATCTGTACTTGATGGAGTTTAGAAGGATGAGGCGAGATCTGATTGAAACTTACAGAACACTGGGAGGCCTGGATAGAGTGGATGTGAAGGAGATGTTTCCACTCTAGGAGAGACTAGGACTTGAGGTTACAGCCTCAGAGTGTAGGGGCAAACCTTTAGAACTGAGATGGGGAGGAATTTCTTCCGTCAGAGGGTGGTTAATCGGTGGAGCTCATTGCCTCAGAGAGCTGTTTAAGCCAAGTCATTAAGTGTAATTAAGACAGAGATAGATATATTCTTATTTGGTTAGTGGATCAAAGATTACAGGGAGAAGGCAGGAGAATGAGGCTAAGAAACATATCAGGCTTGATCAAATGGTGGAGCAGACTCGATGGGCCAAATAGCCTCATCCTACTCCTATATCTTATGGTCTTACTGTAAAATGTAGTATAGGAACAGGACCTAGTTTCTATCTACTTCCACAAGCACATCATACATGTGTTTTTAAAATTATTTAATTAGCATTGATGGCTACTTTAAATGAGGCAGGCAAACACCTAATTACAGGGTAATTGTTGCTAGTTTCTCCTTTACGACAAGCTCTTTTATTATAACTCCTTGTCTTTAGCTAGTCTTTTTGGAGCTGACTTACCTTAGGACCTTCTGGACCTCGAGGACCCTCAATACCTGGAAAGCCTGGAATTCCAGGTGGACCCTGTGGACCAGGGAAACCTCTTTCGCCCTGCCATGATATGGAAAAAGATTTTGAAGTCAATCCTGTGGAAGTACTTTACAACTTAAATAGAGTTAATACCAAAAAATCCTTTCACCACATGATATATATCTTAATTTGCTGAGCAGGATAAAAAGAAAATCTCTATGGGACTAGAGATTGTCATTAAGACATAGTTTTGGATCACCTATCCTTAGGAAAGACAACACATACCTTACACAGTAGCAGCATGAAATGACTTTTCTACCTATTAGTCAAATCGTATTCAACCAGCCCACACTTGCAAAACACAAACTTAAATGTCTACTGTTAGATGTGATTCCAAGATTAACGAGTATCTGCTGAACAATTCTGAGCGCACTGATAGCTACACTAATAATCAATTTAAGATAATAATTTAAACTTACAATGTGACTCACTTTGCTTGTTAGAAGCAGCATGCACTCATTTGCAGGGACCCATTCTCTGCAAATGAAGCAAAATGGTTCAAGTCTTGTGCCTTTTTAAAAATTACCCAGAAGAATGTGAAGTCAACAATTCTCTATTAGTTCCTCCATGGTAATGTTCTGGCCAACCAATCAACACAACTTTTCTCTGTGGTAGTAATAATTATAAATGTTGGAAATTTGGTATTGTTGCATTTGTCTTGATCAGTGCAAGACAAAAGCTTTGGCTATGCTTTTCTTTCCATCAATAATCAAGTTCTATAATAACAACCAAATGTTGATGAAATGTTCAAAACGAAAATCCAAGTTTGCAACTCAATTTAAAAGAAAACCTGAAAATTAATTTTGTGTTATCTATAGACACTGGGTTGTACAGAACTTGAGTATTGAGAAAATAGACACATCTTATTGAAATTTCTTGTTTTGCACTCATTGGGACATTCACTAGAATGTCAATGTAAAGGCAAACAGCATTTTATACTGTACGATAAGAGAATGGTGATTGGGTGGCACATTGACTGAGATTAGTAGCAGCATTGCTGTAGAGAATACCTCACGTAAATGATAACTGTCAGTTTACTATCAAGCTTAAGCTATCAAGTTTAAACCAGGCAAGTTAATTCTCTTTGGTCAAGGCATTGTTCTGAGGAATGAACCAGAGAACGGTTGTTACTTATTAGATAAAAACTGAAAGAACTGCGGATGCTGTAAATCAGAAACACAAACAGAAATTACTGGAAAGTGCAGCAGGCCTGGCAGCATCTCTGGAGAGAAATTAAAGTTCTGAGGAAGGGTCACCGGACCCAAAATGTTAACTCTGATTTCTCTCCAAAGATGCTGCCAGATCTGCTGAGCTTTTCCAGCAATTTCTGTTTTTGTTGTTGTTAATGGTTGTTGCTTATTTTGTTTGGTTTAAACAGGTATATGTGTGTGATCTTTCTGTCTGCGAGGCCCTGTGCATCAACATATGTAGCTTGCAGTACATGCGAGTGCACCACACATCAATGCACAACTGGCGATCTTGAATTGGTTGTCAGCATAAATCATGCTGTACTCAGGATTATTTGGCAAATGTTGTCGAATCATGGAATTACATCTAATTTTGTACACTGTTTTGAGTGTAACTTGCACTCTATGAATTTCAGGTATTATTAAGTCCCATGGTAAAAGTGTAAATCAAAAATAACCAAATTTACAAAACAATCCAAAGAAAGAAGACAAAGATTTTATTTCTTGTAAATTTTACTCAACATTAATCAGAATCTATCTGAATTAAATATGGATTAACAGGAAACTATACTCCAAATAAAAAGACCAATTTCACATCAAACAGTTGATACAATAAAACTGTCTTACACAGCCATAAGAACCCGTATTAATTCCTGCACAAATGTGCCAATGTGCAATTCTAAAATTCACTAACTTGCTCTTTGGATGTAAGATCTCCCACCTTCAACTCAATCAAATGAACCCTTAAATCACTGCCACAAATTCACTCTGAATAAAAACCGAAAGAACTGCGGATGCTGTAAACAAAAACAGAAGTTGCTGGAAGAGCTCAGCAGGTCTGGCAGCATCTGCGAATAGAAATCAGAGTTAACGTTTCCGGCCCAGTGACCCTTCCTCAGAACTTTTCTGAGATACTGTCAGACCTGCTGAGCTTTTCCAGCAACTTCTGTTTTTGTTTCAAATTCAGTCTGATGTTCTGGATATGGTTAACATTGACAAGGTGCCCATCTGCATACCTCCCCTCACATTGGTCATATCATTTCTGATCGTGTTGTTTTAGGGAGTTGTTTTTTAATTAATCAACAACACACAGTTCACAATCCTGATCTCTAATGGGAACTTTTAATCCTTTCACATACCTGAGCTATTCACACTACATTTAGGATTCAGTTCCCTTTAGCTTGCTTGTATATTGCTTACCCAATAGGTTCTAAAAGTCCAGTTTTCTTTTTTCTAACAACATCAAATTGACCTTTGTATAAAGAGATTTACTGGCTTATCCCCACACATATTATATGTTCCTCTTTCTGTCTGTCTGCTTTCTTTTTCTGTCTGTTTCTGCACTGATTACCTTCTGATTCTAATCATTTTGTCTTATTTACTGCAGTAATTCCTTTATGTGTCTTCACTGTGTTCCTCACTGAAGAACTTGTGTATTACTAGATGCCTTCATTATTTCCTTCCTATTGGCACTGCCTCCAGGTCAAGGGTTGTCTGGCCACATGAACCAGAATTTTTTATCCAAAATATCACGACAGATTCCTCCATAATTGACACAAACACTTGAGAAGCCTTTTCAAACATTCTTAAAAACAATGGTAAATTCCAGGATAGCTTTAAGAAGTTATAAGTTGTCCTAATTATACTGCTTATAGATCAAAAATCATCATAAAGGCAATAGAGACATGAATACTCCCTCTGAACTATATTCTTTTACCACCACATTCTCATCTCTAATTTCTAAGACTGATGCAATGTCTGAATAAACCATTTACTTTCATCCACATAGCTTTATGACTGCCCTAGTTTTAACCATCAACTAGTTTCCTTTCAATTCCAAACACTTACTTCAGATTATAAAGTGTGAGGTGAACTTGCAGGGGCCACATCTTCCTGGGATAGATGTCATGTGAGCCTGGGAACTAATCCAATTCTAAGTCCTCTAAACTGTTAATACTGCTGCCTCTCAATTGTAATTTGTTAAAGCATATCACAGTCCTTTTCCCTGATTTCTGTCCATACGTCATTGTTCTCTATAGTGAATACACTTGTAGTCTTTTCCTGAGATTTAACTGAGAGATTGTTCCATAATGATACCACTTTAATTTTTCCAATATCACTGCTCCTGATGTGTCTTCCTGGGCATTTTCCCATTTAATTGTAAAAATGATATAATCCCTGCTGTATATTTTTATCTTCCTATTGAACTGATCCTCTTGCTCATGGTGAGATCTCCACTTTATTGATTGATCAGATTGCATCATGTCTGTTATGGATCAGATATGATTCGAACAAATAAGAGTACATGAGTACATTAGTGTGCCTGTGTGTAGTAATTGATCCCATTCCCTTCTTCCTTATAGTAATTCTTAGACCCTGGAATTACCAGACCAAAATGCATACCGCTAACAGGACAAATAGCTTTATGACTTAATGCAAACTTACAATCAAGCACACGGCGAGTCATCACCAGTGTTCATTGTGTACTTGGATCCAGAGATGACCAATCCTCACTGGGCTGCAATGATTTTAGTGTGGTGGATGTCTGCAGCTTAGACCAGGTAAGAACAGTTCTGAGCTTTGTGAGTTCATTTGAATAGCCAAGGTACGCTTTTAGAGTATTAAGATATGGCTCTGGATTTTGTCACAGGACATCCTTATGGGTGGTAAGCTGTCCTTTGGTTGAAGTAAGGCACTTTGGCAATGGGAAGGTACTCTTTGAGAGAGGTCAATATCCCTTTGGATACTTATAAATAGATATGATTGTGTGTAAAGAAAGTATGATCTCATTGGGACTGTCAAGCTAGCAGAAAAACTGTCAAGATCTTAAATAACAGTCAAAGCTGTCAAAGAGCTGTCAATTCTGTCAAAAGAACTTTTCAGAGTGATCTGCCAAGACTGTTGAGGCATTTAAAACTGCAGGCCAATTGACCTTTTGAAAAAAAAGTCTAAAGTTAAAAAAGGAAACTTGTTTTCTATTTCACACCATCTGTAGACATTAGCTTGAAGATTTCCATTGCTGGATTCATGATGCACAACTAATTTCACAACGATCCCTTATCACAGTGGAGTGCCTTCCATTTCAGGTTGCCTTCCATTGTGGTGTGGAAGCCATGGGGGTAGGCACCAGAACTTAGGTGACATGGCTTTTCATGGATGAGGCATGGCGACCGTGTGGGGACAGAAGGGACGTTAACCTTTATTTTAAAACTTTGGGCAAAATGCTGGAACCCCAAGGCCCATTGTCATCAGTCCCACCTGCACACTGGGCATACTCCTCAGTCTTCCCTAGTTGTATTTCCGCTGACTTCCAATCCAGGCTCCACAGCCTCCTCCTTACACCAAAAAGGAAGTTTGTACAGGCATTTTTTTAAAGGATGGGTTTCATTAGCCAGGAATTCTCCTGTCTCTGTGTACACAACTTGGGGATCAGCATCAGTACATTGGTATTCCTGTGATTCCGTCCTGATGAGTGCAAGATGAAAATCTCCAATGGGATGTCTCTTTTTCTCAGCATTACATTCTGTACTATCAAAAGATGATATCATATACAATACCATTTCTCTGAGGTTTACAGCAAAGCTATGGCAGGAAGTTAGGAACAGCTGCAGAAACTTTGTCCCCTGCATCTAACAAATCACAGCAACAAGTGACAATTTGGACCAAGTACCAACACACTGTGTACAAGGCAGATAGAGAAAGGAGAACATTAAAATAAACAGTCATCATAGCCTGCTTTCAATCATAATCTCCTTTGCAGTGTTAGGCATGAAATGTAATTAGCTTCCACCATGTATTTTCAGGATCTGGCTCTGAGCTCTAGCAGAATCATAATGAATCAAACAGTAGCTACCTTTACCCAGTGGGTAGTCAATATAAAAGGTGCAATAATTCAAAATGTTACCAAATTAATGTATTTAATTTAGTTAACTTAGTTGCAGTTGGGTGTTCTTTGACTTTCAGTTCTTAAATTACGAATTATGTATTGGATAACAATGAACATTGACTATCTTACCTTATTGCCTTTTACTCCATCACAGTGACATTTTGATTTACCACTACACGTACAGGCCTGCACAAAAGAGACAGGAAAAACATAAGGAAAGCACATAGTTCATAAATATTAAACTTACAGAACTCTGTAACCTAGTCATGTGGAATTAAGTGCAAGGATCACTGGAAACAAGTCAGTTGGAACTAAGTATGAAGGTCAAACAATTATTTGATTTAACATAATGAAGTGAGAAGTGCTTTCTGATGCTATTGCACAATTTTTGGGAATCCAATGTCAGCTTGACTGTTAAAATGGAAAACGAGCATATTTTTCTGTGATGATGCAGTACTTGTTAAATACATCAACAGCATCTAGTGGCAGAAAATCAGTGTTGCACGTCAACTTGTTTAAAGAATTTTAACAGCGTCTTTGTGTCCTCTGGGATAAGTTTGATATGTGGCTGGATCTGTCATTGGGAAAAAATTGCATACAAATACCAGCAGCACATTCCAACCATAGTGCACTCAGAAACATTGCAGTAAAGTCCTAGCTCTGTGTTAGATGAACATCAGTCCACAAACATCGGCTCCCTCCTTTATCAACACTCAGTAGCAGCAGTGTGTACTATCTGCAAGATGCGCTGCAGAAATTCACCAAAGATCCTCAGACAGCACCTTCCAAACCCACAACCACTTCCGGCTAGAAGGACAAGGGCAGCAGGTACATGAGAACACTGCCACCTTCAAGCTCCCCTCGAAGCCACTCACTATCCTGATTTGGAAATATGTTTCTTCAGTGTCGTTGGGTCAAAACTCTGGAATTCTCTGTCTAAAGGCACTGTGGACAACCTACAGCAGGTGGACTGCAGTCGTTCAAGAAGGCAGCTCACCGCTACCACCAAGGACAACTAGTGACGGGCAATAAATGATAGGACAACCCGAGATACCCATGAGTGACTAAAAAAGGGCTTTGACATATGAAATATCAAGAAACACTCACTGTGGGAGCTGGCTAATTTCTGGCTCCTTAGTGTCATTTCAATGAAGCCCAAACCTGGAAATGGTTGTATTCCCCCCAGGGTGGCTTTGGGCAGGTGGCACGGTCATTTTGCCAAATTCACACCTGGTTTTGGTGGAAGTCAAAGATTACCTAGGCCTCTGGATTAATAGTCCAGCAATAATACCACAAGCCAACATTTCTCCTTGAAGATGCTACGTAAATACATTATCAATTGAGGAAGGGCAGTAGAGTCATAGAGATGTACAGCATGGAAACAGATCCTTCGGTCCAACTCATCCGTGCCAACCAGAAATCCTAAATAAATCTGGTCCCATTTGCCAACATTTCAACCATATTCATCTAAACTCTTCCTATTCATATACCCATCCAGATGCCTTTTAAATATTGTAATTGTACCAGTCTTCACCACTTCCTCTGGCAGCTTATTCCATACACGTACCATGAAAAAGTTGCCCCTTAGGTCCTTTTTAAATCATTCCGCTCTCAGCTTAAACCTATGCCCTCTAATTTTGGACTCGCCCACCCCAGGGAAAGGATCTTGTTTATTTACCTTATCAATGCCCCTCATAAACCCCTAGGTCACCCCTCAGCCTCCGACATTCCAGGGAAAATAGTCCCAGCCTATTCAGCCTCTCCCTATGGCTTAACCCCTCCAACCCTGGCAACATGCTCGTAAATCTTTTCTGAATCCTTTCAAGTTTCACAACATCCTTCCTATAGCAGGGAGCTGAGAACTGCACGCAGTATTCCAAAAGTGGCCTAACCAATGTCCTATACTGCCGCAACATGACCTCCCAACTAAAAACCAAAAGAACTGCGGATGCTGTAAATCAGGGACAAAAACAAAGTTGCTGGAAAAGCTCAGCAGGTCTGGCAGCATCTGTGAAGGAAAAAACAGAGTTAACGTTTCGGGTCAAGTGACCCTTCCTCAGAACCAACTCTTATACTCAATGCGCTGACAATGCATCTTTGTCCATTACTGCACTTTTGACTATTGCCACTTTTTAATTCCTATTACCATTTGTAAAAAATCAACGGGGGCATGTTTTGATCTTTCCTTCATTAAGAGTCACAATAAATGGTTTAGTTCTGTGACTACTTTATCAATTAAAAAATGTCAGCAGATTTCCCGTTTAAATGCTCCAGATGAACAAAAATATCTTTAGCTGAGCCAATTCTGGATAGCTGGCTTAGGACTATCTCTACTACTGTGAATTGCACAAGTGTTGGTCATCACAGAGACAGACAAACACTTCCTGGTTGTCATGTGGTCTCACCTGCCTGCCTGCAAACTTTATTTTGAAAATGAGGGAAAATTTAGTGCTAGTGATGAGGGTCACACCTATTGAAGGCCCAAAGGGAATATCATGTTATTTTTCTTCAGGAGGTCTGACAGAGTAATAGCGACTTACCTGGACAGTATCAGACTTCCTGTTTAATTAAGGCATCAAGAGGGAGGAAATCAATCCCTCAAGAGCTGTCACACAATCAAAGTCTGGGCAGAGCCTCATCAGCATTGTCACTAGGAACACCCATAGTTGGATCACTGGAGACAAGAGTGAGTTGGGATCCATGAGGAGGTTGTGACCAACCAATGGGGCCAGTTACCAGATACAAAGACAGCAGCAGTGTCTCAGTGAGGAACCCTCCTTGATACCAATCCCTCAGTCAGGCAGTAGGTTCCTGTGTACAAGAAACCCCGCTAGCTCCCAACTTCCAAACACCAACTACCCCCAGCCTCCATACCCCAACTTTCTAACCCCGTTCCCCCACCACCGCCACCCCCACCCCACAAAACAGGATTAATTGGGCAGCGTTCTGGAGAGCCAGGAGACCCGTGCAAATGTGTTGTAATCCCTGAGCCAGCATAAAAGCTTAATAGATCCAAGGAGAATTAGTTTTAAGTAGCACATTAACAAACCTAAATAAAAACCAAAAGAACTGCGGATGCTGTAAATCAGAAGCAAAAA